GCACTAAGTGTGTGTTGGGAGTGGGGAGGGGGGGGTCAGAGAATAAATGCCCTGTGCCCACACAAATCCAGCCTCAGGATCAGGGCACTAGCATTATAAAAGCCCCAGGACTGCACATCTATAGTGAAATAACTGTGAATCTCTCACTACAATGCAAGCAAAATCCTTCCACCAAACAAGGGGGGAAATTTGAGGATGTTAGGATTTTAGGACAGGGGTGGGCAATTATTTGGGGCAGAGGGCCGCTTACTGACTTTTGGCAAGCCATCAAGGGCTGCATAACAGGCAGCCGGGGCAGATAAATATTAATTTTCTAAATTTTTTAGGGGCCCCACAGGCTGGGTAGAATGGCATGGTGGGTCGCATCTGGCCCCCGGGCCGCATTTTGCCCAGCCCTGTTTTAGGAGAATCTCTGCCTGTTCTGCTGCAGCACGTTGCGCTCCTCACTCTCCGTCCTTGCCTGACTTTTCAAGGGGGGGGTTCCCAACCCAACCCTGCAGCAAACTATTTTCAGGCAAACAACAGTAGGAAAGATTATAACTCCCGTTTCTGCTCCTGTCTCATTCAGCTACAGCGAGGTGTGGACTTGGGAACCTAATTGGGACCATTGAAATGCTAACCTCATTGAGTACAGGCACTTCCCTCTCCTCTGTCTTGGACAACAAATAAGTGCAAAGCAGGGAGAGAGTTGCACAATTAAAAGAAACCGTGAGAGTTAATGTTCTTACAGGCTTACAACTCAGCAAGCCTGCCCACCCCTCGCGGTCCGCATCAGGAGCCTGGGTAAACCCTGCCTTTCGCCATAGAAACTGGTTTAAGGCTGCCTGTTATATGGCTTTGTCTAGAGAGGGGTGGAAAAGTCTGATGCTAGTTTTCACGGTCTACATGATCTCACACCTTCTAACTAGACTCAAAATAAGGCATGTCGCATGTTAGCACATGCTAACCCAGATTAGTCACGTGTCTGCCTCCCCCACCACCGCCGAGCTGTAACTGGGCCAGTTCAGACCATGCGAAAGTGTGACATCTCCTCTAGGCAAGCGAGGTGTTAGGCTCGGCTAATGAACGCGAGCTAACATCATCGCGCCTTGCAAGCCTTGCCTAGTCAAAGCCACGATGTGTAGCGCCGTGCAGATATTGTCATAGGAACCTTAGCTTCGCTTCTTTAAAACCATTATTTGCACACACAAGTCATCTGAATACAGCAGTGACATGAGCAACGGTATTTACTCTATAAATATAAACCAGCTTGACTGTTCCTCCCCGTATTTAGGAAGGAAAGGAAATTTAGACTTTCCTTGTTGCAAAAAAACCCCAGTTCTGCTTATCGAGGCCGCTCCCTGAAAAAGATTTAATACCGACAGGTTCAAACCTTCGCTCCAGCGACTTCCTACAGTGCTGGGAAGGAACCGCAGGCTGAACCAGAGCAAAGGGGGCTGGACGCAGACGCCAGGCCTTCGCACCCTGTCCCTGTTCTTCCTCTGCCCGGTGGTGAAAAACTTTTGCTAGCCCAGCCCCATCAGCCAGGAGCGGGATGAGACGGGATGGACACTGCATTGCCATGCACAGATGCAGATATACCAGAAAAAGTGTATTTTGCTGAGGGTGGGACTGGAATAAGCTGGGCCAGCAAAAGCTGCTGCTGTTATAAGCCATTTCATTCTAGCACATGGCCCACAACACCTCCAGCAAGAGACCCGAACGACCCACCTGACATTGGCTGCCCTAATGTAGACAGGCATCCCCCGGACACCACCGTCAGCTAGGCCTGCTCTGTGCAGATTGAGATGTTGCAGGGTAGTCTTAGCCTTGCTCCTACAGGTGTTTGTGCCCAACCTTCCCCACAAACACTACACCCCCAAGTCCATCAAGGGCGTGCATATTTGAACTCTATCCTGCTCGTACAGCTTGGGACGCAGGTCAGAGAAAGAGCCGGACCAACCCATGTTGCCGTGAATGCGTGGCGAGGCCATTTAAGTATAAACGAGGCCCTTCCTACAGTCCCTTCTGTGAGATGGACAAGCTCTCTACCAAGTGGTACAATGCCCAGGGACAGAAGTCTAGTGTTGACAGGATTTGCCCCAAACACCCGGGCAGGTGCAGAAAGAGCGAGGACAGTACTTGGGAAGGGCTTGGGGACACGTGGCGCCAAGAATCCAAACCCACCCAGCGGTGAAGACAGACCCCAGTGGGATAAATCCCAGTGCCCTTTCTCCACAGCCTGTCCAGATAAGGGACCTTACCATTGGAGTGCCTCTTTGGATACAGGACGGTTGCACCCACATCCATGGAAAACCCTAAGGAAGACCCAAGACAACGCCAAACACTCCCCCAGCGGGTGCCCCAGTGAGACAGACAAGGGGAGATCCCTGTTCTGCCTGCAACCCCTCTCTGGGCTCTGCCGGCTAGGGACCGATCTCGATCTCGGTCCAAGCGAGTGGAAAACAAATGCAAATGCAGGGAAGGAAGGGCTGGGCATCTCAATCCATTCCTGCCCTCTGGCCAGGCAGAGCCATTATTCTCCTCTCACAGGAACGGACCCATTTACACTCAAAATAAGAGGCGAGGGGTGGGGGAAGGAACACATGGGTTAACCCTAACAGCATCGCGGCTTCCCCCAGGGGAGGGGAAGGACACAACTGTCACTGCTCCCCTGCCACCCTTCGCTGCCCGCCTATGGCACATCTGCTCCTCGCGGTAGCGAGTCGCACGGGCAGCAAGGAGGTATCCACGGGACCTTCATGGCTACTCATTTTCCACCCGTGCTCTGACCAAGGCAGACCCAGCAGCAGCGGGGACAGAGCTGAGCACGAGCGGCTGTAGCCCTCTATCATCTCGACCCTGCTCAGAGCCCGGGAGGACGGCTGGAGCTCGGTCTACACACGTACCCTCTCCACCACTGCCTGGAGCTGCACCCATGGCCCAATTTCTGGCAAAGTCTTGGGCAGACAAGGCTGGAGGGAGGAAGAAACACAAGCTCTGCTGGGTCCCTGAGCCAGCTCCACTCCTGCCCCGTTTGCATTGCGTTGCATCACCGGCCCCACCACACCCCAGAGGGGAAGTGAGATTTCAAGGACCATTGAACTCAAGGAGACTTCCCCTGAATGTATTATGATGACAAAAATACCCGTGCGGAAGCCCTACACAGACCCGCTGACCTGGCAGCTTTCGATAAACTACCAAGTTCGCCCCCCCACTATTCCCAACCTGGAGCAGCGCGGGCTAGCGGTTACTGCTTCTCCGGCACTTCAGTGACTGACTCAACCAGACCAGGTCTCCTCCTCCAAACACCTGGCTGGCACAGCTACCACCCCCCATGCCGACACAGCTTATACCAGTCGACCGGCACTTGGGCTGGCACTGCTGATCCCAGCTCTCCTGAGCAAAATAAACCCTCTCAGCACAAGCACGGTTTGCCATTATAATTGTGTCGACACCAGGGCTTTTGCCTGCACAGCTACGTTAATTCGAGCGAGGGATTTTTCTTTTTTTTTTTTTGCTTGACATACTCCCAAGCAACACAGCAACCCTGGCCAAACTTCTGAGCACGGACCAGGCCTCCGCCCCGTGCCCCAAAACGACATGCAACAGATTGCCGCTGCCCCCGGGGAGGCAAAGCCGGGCTTGCAGTCCACCTGAAAGGGGAGGCAGACATTCACATGGAAATAGCAAAGCGCCTCTC